CTCCTGCTCAACCTCCCAAATAGCTAGGACTTCAGGCATGGGTGCCACCACATCCGGCTAATTTTTCTACTTTTTGTAGAGACAGGGGGTCTTGGTCTCGCTCAGGCTGGTCTCAAACTCCTGGACTAAAGCAGGAGTTTGTTTAAGGCCTCAGCCTCACAGAGTGCTAGGATTACAGGCATGAACCACTGCACCTGGCCTCTTTCTCTTTTTCATTAAAAAAAAATATCAACCAAGTGAATTGATGGCCAGTTAATTAGAATTGAGATTTTTCAAAACTAGTGATTTAAGCAATTCCTAGGTATTCCTAGGAATGCTGCAGGTTTGAGTGGAAGATTTTATCACAGGTTGGACACCTTACAGAGGCAAGCTTAAGGGAGGTTGGAAGAGGAATATGGTGATGCTTTTCAGGTAATTAAAAGCGAAGTGTTTACCTGCGACATAGCCTTTTCATTCACAGTTCAGGTGGTAGAGGGCTTGAACAATTTTGGCCTGCCCTCCAGGCTTAAAAACCAGACAGCTCTTTGATGTTGTTATCTACTCAGAGGCCTGGAGTTCCATTTCTTGTCCATGGTTCCTCGGAGATGGGTCTTAGCTACTTGTTTCGGAACTACCTGAGGTGTTTGGCAAAAATACAGATGCTTGACTTGGTCCTCAGACATTCTGATTCTGTCGGTGGAAGAGGATTTGCATTGTTTTATGAAGTGCTTCCAGTCTGAGAATTGCTCCTACGTGTAGGCACTGGAGCTGAGGAAGAGGAAGAGGGAACTGAAAACACTAAAGGAGAATGAGGGCTTGGCAGCTTCTGCTTCCTTTAGTCTTAGTCAGTGACGAATAGCTAGATTCACTTTAAAGTAACCAAGTCCAAAGCCATGTCATTTAGCTGTAGCTAGTGGTATGCTTAAAGTTTTAAAATGGAACAAAAAGTTGGTGGGAGAAATTGATGTAAGCATTTTTCTTGATGCTTTCCTCATGGTGTGTATTGGAGGAAATAAGCAAGGAAAAAGGGTGCATGAATTCAGTAAGATCAGTGGTTTTAAAGTGGGAGCAAACTGAATGGGATAATTTTGCTTGAGCAAGATGGGGTGAGGAGAGATTCAGGAAGATGAAGTGTTGTTTTCTCAGAAGATAATGAGCAGATGTTCTCTATCTCCTCTGGAGATGTATCAATGGAGGAGTGGCTTAAACAGCAAATTAGGGCAGATAGAAGGAAGAATGTCCTGAAACAAAGGCTAGTAAATCTCAAAATAAATGATCACAGAACACTGAGATCTTTTTTTCTAGATAATAAATTGTGAACTATTGAGAATGTTGTTCCACAGCCACGAGAAAGAACATGCCAAATGAATTTTTAAGATATTGTTTAGCTTTATTTTAATAAAAACTTTGCTTTAGGCGTATCATTCACAGTCTTTGATAACTATCTCATTAAAATTTGGACATTTATTTGCTATTAAAATGTCACTTTAGCTTATTTGAACTTGCCAAGACACTGGTAATTTCTTTCCTTTATATCATTTTCAGTTTCCTTATAAGACTAAAATGAAACCTTCTATGTTCAACTCATCACTCGGCCTAATTGTATTTAATTAATATGGAGTATCTTTAATATGGACTCAAGCTATTTAATAACTTCTTCCTTTAAATGTCTATAATTTGCTTTAACTACTTTTACAGTCTATTTATGTTATGTCATAACTGGCCAACTTGTGGCCAAATGCAAAACCAGTCTAGAAGGTATCACACTGATGCCCTTCACATAAGGTCAGTGGTAGGGATATGTACTCACCATCTGACCCCTTTCTCTCCTTTTACTTTTCATAGTAGTTTCTGATCCTAAGAGTAAACCTGGGGGCCTCTGAGCTGATTTGACAGTGGGTTGATTCGGGAGTTACTTGAATATGCCAGCCATGGGTACTGAAGCCCATCGGCAGGGAGCCCCCAGTGCCCTTGGGAGCTGTTACGTGGAGTAGGAAGGGAGTCTGGGATGTGGGGTTAGTGTTGCTGTGGTAGCCTGGTGGTCCTCTCCAACCTACTCTCTCTACTGCCACCAAAGGAGTCCTTGCAGTTGCCAAATCTGATTTATTTCTCTTTTAAAAAACAATTTCCCGTGATGTTCATAGGCTAAAGACCACAATCCTTAGACTAGCCTTCAGAGCCACTTATACCCCCCAGTTTCACAAGACCACAAGCAGCATGAAGGCAAGGGCATGTCTGCGTTTGCTCACTGTTGTATCTCTGGTGAGAAAATTCATAACAGTGTGACTTTAAAGCCATCAGACGTTTCCAAGGATCAGTTTTTATCTTTACCTCCAGGATTTGCCACCGCATTTATTTACACGTGTGACTATTTTGTTTTAAAGGTGGCAGTTCTCATTCCTTTCCGTAATCGCCATGAACATCTTCCAATTTTTTTCTTGCACCTGATTCCAATGCTCCAGAAACAGCGGCTGGAATTTGCCTTTTATGTCATTGAACAGGTGAGGATATTTTCAAAATGGTCACCAAGTATTCTAGAACTTAAACTCTTGGATATGGTTTGATTAAAAAT